GAACTTGCAATGATCCTTCCTGCCTCAGCCTCCCCAGTGCTGGGATTACAGGCGTGCAACACCACGCCTGGCCTTGAATTGAACTTGTTCATAAACTAGTACTTTAGAGAAAGCTGAAATTGTGTTTTTTAAAACTTTTGACAGTATACTAACTTTGAATCCCAGAAATCAGTTCACTTTTCCATAGCATGTTGTTCACTCTTAAATCCCCATAGGTCAGTACAACCATCCATGTGCCACTTAGTAAACACATATAATGAACAAGTGACCAAAAGTGTCTTAAATGCAGGGCATAGTCTATAGAATGTTAGATCTGGGCAGAATGGCACCCCTCGAGATCTCCTGGGAGTGACTGCCAGAGCATAGCTAGAGCATAGCTAGAGCTTCATCTATTGTCTGTGCCCTTCCTTTCTCTCCTTACACTGGGTGGTAAGATGTACATACTTTTAAAACACTTGAAGCATCCAGTCTGGTTCTTAATTATCCTTCCTGCTTTAAGGTGTATTCGCCGGTCATCTTCATAATGTTCTTCCTTGGGGCTGGGGATTTAGCTCAGCGGCAAAAGCGCCTGCCTGGCAAGCGCAAGGTCGTGAGTTCGATTCCCGGTACCAGAGAAAAACCAAAAAAAAAAAAAAAAACAAAACAAAACATAATGTTCTTCCTTGTGTTTGTTGGTTTTCTTCCAGTTTAAGAAAAGCCCGCCTAAGATACCCTACAAGGCCATCGCACTTGCCACTGTGCTGTTTTTGATTGGTGCCTTTCTTATTATAATAGGCTCCCTCCTGTTGTCTGGCTACATCAGCAAAGGGGTAAGAGGATGGGAATGTCTTAAAAGATCTTTAAAAATGTGACCTAGGGTGCTATCGTTTATATATTCTATCTGGTACACCCGGTTCCAGCAGAAAGAAGAAAAAATGTATCTTTTATATTTTGTTTTTTGATGAAATGTGTTTTTTTAGCTGGGCATGGTGGCCCGTACCTGTAATCTGAACAGACAGACTGAGACAGGAGGCTCCCAAACTTGAGCCCAACCTCAGCAACTTACCAAGACCCTATCTGAAAATTAAAAAAGCTGGGGATAGTGGTGCATGCCTGTAATCCCAGCACTCGGAAGAGGCTGAGGCAGGAGGATCACCAGGAGTTTGAGGCCACCCTCAACTATATAGCAAGACCCTGTCTCAGAAAACAAAAACAACCCAAAACTTTAAAAAAGGTCTGTGTATATAAGTCAGTCGGAGGACCCTGGATTCAATCCCCAATTCTGCAAAAACAGAACAAATTAACAAAATAAATTTCTTCCATTGTTTCGCTGAGATGGGTGTTGTCAGGTAGGCAGACTTGGCCTCTGAGCTGTTAGGCGGTTTGTCCACAGCCACAGTTTGGACTAGCAAATCTGAGCCTGGCATCCAGCATTTCTGACCTGTGAGAGGCTGTAACCAGAGCAGCATCTGTTGTCATAGCTGGGTAGTGGCATAGATGTACTGGTCAGTATCTGGGGAGAAGCAGGAGGCTTGTACAGACCGCCGTTCGGGTGCAGCACCTTTGAGGGGCGGTGTAATGTCTTAGAACCTAAGGTGGTCTTTGGTGGTTCTTTCTCTTGGGCTATCCTCGTATGTACATGGTGTCTAAGTTATCCTGAACTTACTCCAGCACAAACCAAGAAAAACAAGCTTATTGTATTCTGTATAGTTCTGGAAAGTGCTCTACCCCTGAGCTACACTCCAGTGCTTCTGTATGGTCACAGAGAAAAGGAACCAGTGCCCGACAGCTGTGGGCGCTAGAGTAAAGGCTTCCCTGACTTCTGCAGCTGTTGTGCACAGTGAGGGCTCCAGAGCGTCGCCACTGGTGGAATACTCTGCTCCACAGCCTGGCATCCAGACACAGCCTGTCGGTGAGGACCCACCGTTCATACATATGAAGGGTCTCTGACACTGGCAAGTGCTTGTGATGAAGAGACCCACAGGACACAGTGTGGCGTCTTTACAACTAAGAACTGTGAAAAAGGACCAGAAGGAAATAAGCTATTCTCATCTGAATAAAGAGTATTTAGTACTTTAAAGTTTTCTGTCAGTTTGTAATCAGGAAAGAAGGAGATACAAACATTCCCCTTGGTACTGTACTACCTAAGGGAGATACTCAGAAAACTGTGAAGTAGTGGTCCATAGATGGGGCCTGTGGCTTTATTTTGAAATGTGTAAGTTGCATGGTACTACTGTAATGTTTTCCTTCTTTTGCCACCAGGGGGCAGACCGGGCCGTTCCCGTCCTGATCATTGGCATTCTGGTGTTCCTGCCAGGATTTTACCACCTGCGCATTGCCTACTACGCATCCAAAGGCTACCGGGGTTACTCCTATGATGACATTCCGGACTTTGATGACTAGCACCTCAGCCCTAAGAAGAGTCACGGTGGAGCTACACCCAACCTTTACAGTACTGAGTGGGAACCAAGGCTAAGAGCTGAGGGATTTTGCAGTTAGTAGATGTTTAACAAATCAGTGGCCAGATTTTATGGGTCCATCCCGAAAACGTTCACTGAGCTTACAGTTAGCTAATTAGGACATGCTCTTGTTTTCATCTCCTGGCCTGGCAAAAGCTCAGCAAGTTTTTCCACATGAGTAGGTACCATGGAAGAGTGTTAATTATCTTGAAAAGCAGGAGGTTATTCTGTAGTGGAAAGTTGTAGTACAACTACTACCTTCTTTAGAGCTGAGGATTTCCCTTAAATAGTCTTCATTGTCAGTTTGTCTTACAGCAAATGGAAGTATGCAGTGTATCTAATTTCCTTACGAAGTAATTTATCTTTACAATGTTTCAGTATCTTATCCCTTCTGTATATCTCTGCACCTTCATGTTCTGTGAGAGACCTGGGTGAAATCAGGTATCAGTGTGGGTCCTGTAATATTTGTTACTTGCTTTGTTATTGACAGCAGTTTTCAAAATACAGACATTTTCTCTGACAACCAGTCTTTGGCCAGCTCTGACCTAGTTTCCCCATATGATTGCCAGCAGATTATTTGGGTATAAGATGGCCTACATATCACGCCTTGAAGGACTGGACTTTTGGCTGTCTCCTCATGGAAGATGTGGATAAATTGTTCAGGGCTAGTATCATCCTGATAAAGGTTGCAAACTTGGCCTCGCTCTCTAGAAGCCTAAGTTGCCTTAGGTTGATTATGTGTCCTTGCTTGCAAAAAAGGGATGCATATTCAAAAGAAATTAAAAAAGGGATGTATATTCAAAAGAAATTAAAAGGTCAAAATCCAAATCCTAGACTTAAAATCGGTTTAAGTGATTTTATGATATCTTTGACCCCAAGACTGCCTATGTTTTTATGTAGCTGTCATCGTAAGACACTACTTTCCAATCTCTGTTTTGTTTTTTTGAGACCGAGTCTCACTGTGTAGCTGAAGCTGGGCTCAATCTTCCTGCCTCAGCCTCTTGAGTACTAAATACTTTTGTTACATATTTATCATTTTAATCCTCAGAGAAGTCTAAGATTCTCAGCAGTGGGTGGGATGTGTGAGGCTCAGGTTGGCAGGGCCTGGATTGATACCTTCAGGGTTGGCAGGAATACTGAGAAGGGCCGGATAGTAAGGAGTGGGGACCATGGTCAATTGTGAAGTAGATATTTTACCTAAAAGCAGCCTCCTCCCTTTTACAGTGGCAGCGAAAGCAGGCACCCTCACTGTGACAGCTGCTACGCTTCCCATTCGTCATTCTGAACGTGAAAAGGCCTCTCTAGCTTCTGCAGCTGTTGTGCACAGTGGGGGCTCCAGAGCGTCGCCACTGGTGGAGTGCTGTGCTCCACAGCCCGGCATCCAGACACAGCCTGTCGGTGAGGAGCAGAAGCAGAGGCTGCGGGCCTGTGGCCACTGTTGGCCTGCAGTTTCAGAAATGAGGTTCCGATGGTCTTGTTGTCTGACTTCTCTTGAAAACCAGACGGTTGTTCATTACTAAGAGACTCCAGGCAGCTGAAGGGGTGTGAGGAAATCAGCTGCACCGGGCAGGACACCCCAGAGCCCCAAGCCCCACCACCCCTTACTTACTTTATACCCAACCTGCAAACGTCGCTGAGGACAGACAGCCTCTTGCCGTCCTACAAGCACAGCTCTGCTTGCGGCCTGGCGTCTGTTACGTGGAGAGCCAGACCCAAGAGGACATTGTGTTCCTTTCCAGGATGGGTGGGCAGGCTGGTTCAGTTGAATTCAGAACTGGCCAGGGCACTTGGAAAGGTGCTGCCTGTGGGTACAGCCCCTGCCTGGCACACACTTCGCAGTCTACACAGCAGCTGGCACAGGTAGCCTCCTGTCAGTGTGTGCCCAGGAACCTGGCGGAAACAACAACCATGGTGACTTTCTGTTAACCTCTGAAGGTGTGAGTCCAGGTCACCGCGGGTGCCTTATCTGTGGAGTGGCTTCCCATCGAGGCTTCTCCAGACTCGGTCCTGGAGGCGTGTGCTTCAGTCACAGTTCAGGCGTGCTGCGGAGGGCACAGACTGACCTTATTACCCATGCGGTATTGGGCATGTTATCTCTGGAGCTTCTGTTCCTACCCCCCGGGGTAGCACTGCGCATGGTGAGGCCGTGCAGGAGGGGCTCCGTGCCGAGACAGGCGCATAGTATGCACTGAGCACGTGCAGTCGGAGAAGGTGGAGGGACCCCTTTGGTATCGGAACAGAGCGCATGTGCGCCCTTGGGGTCCTACACTTGGATGTAGGACCAGGTGGGCAGTGCTCCCTCGGCTGCCTCCAGGAGGTGTGGGAGGCTGAGGAGCTAGGCTTTGTTTGTTGGGCTCCAGGCCTTGGGAAAGTGCGAACCCTGGGCAGACCACCCTCTTGTCGTGGTGCTGTGGGAGCATCAGACCTCCCCTCTTGGAGCCTGTTCTTCCTCTCCGCCCGCCACTCCTCCCTCTGCTCTCTGCCCCTTCCGTTATGGTCTGGGTGGGCAGCACGGGCATCACAAGGGCACTTGGTAGAAACACAGTGCCCTGCGCCTGCCCCCAAGTTGGCCTCCATTGTGACGAGACCCCAGGGGCTCGTTCTCAGGGTCGGAGGAGCTGGCTGGGGCACACTGGGCCTCCACCTCCTCAACTGCACTGGATCTCCTCAAGCAGTACCAGCAGTGAGTGAGGGGCACCCAGGAGGCAATGGCGCCTTCTCAGTCTGTCAGTATTCTCTAGCAAAAGAGTAGCTCCATGGCCTGAGGAGTGGGAGAAACTGAAACAGGATTCTCAGACATGTGCAGATACTGGCAGTGAGGAGTGTGCTTCGATCCTCCGAGGCCCAGGCGGGCAGTTCATGAACCAGACAGAGAGAAGCAGGACAGGTTTCCCTCCAGTCTTCTCTGGGAGGCAGGCCTGGTGGCTTGGAGTCCACCTCATCGCTGGAGGTGGTGGCTTTCCTCCCTGACTCTGATGTTTCCATTCTTTTGTTCCTCACAGAAACCTAAGATGAGCAAACTGGAAAACGGTCCAGTCTGAGGGGTAATATCCTTTGGGCCAGGAGACTGGTCCTTTGAGAGTGTTTTTCTCTGGCATTTAGTGTCTTCAGAGTAGCCTGAGTCTTTCACGCCCAGGGCTGGAATCTTCCTGCAGCCCAAGCTACAGCAGCTGCAGCTCCTCCACACCCTAGGGCGTTCTCACCCAGCAGAGCTGAGAAGAGGGGCTCCACGGGCAATAGTGGGTATTCGGGAGAGAGGAGGGTGGTGAGGAGCCCTGGGAAATCCAGGCTAGCAGCTCTTGGATCTGTGGTTGCTGGTGCCTGGTGAGGGAACCCAGGGCCTCGAGCATGCTAGGATGCTGCTCTGCCACTAAGCTGTGTCTCCAGCCCTGTAAGACTCCAAGCTTAGCGACCAAGGACTTGCTGAGAGCTGATGGTCTCCTATTCTTGGGGGTGTCAGCTTAATTTCTGTTTTTGTTTGTAGCTATTATAAATCAGATTATAAATGGGATATTTTAAATTTCTTCTTGGATAGTTTCTTGTTAATATATAGAAGCATTACTGATGGTTGTATATTGATTTTATATCCTGCAAATTTATGCAGTGTGTCTAGTTCTATTGAGTTTGTGTGTGTGCGTGTGTGTGTGTAATCTTTAGAGTTTACTGCATACGCGTCTGCAGATACTTACAGTTTTACTTCCTTTCTGACTCAGATGCTTCTTATTTCTTTTTCTCGCCTAGTTGGTCTTGAGGTTAGTTTGGCAGCACAGTGCTGAGTAGAAGTGAAGAGGGGAATCTGTCTTGCTCTGAGGAAAAAGCCTTTAACTTTTTCTCATTGTATACTATGTTAGCTGTGGCTTGGCACATGTGGCCTTTATTATGCTAAAGTACATTCCTGGTGTATCCAACTTTTTGAGAAGTGTTTGTTGTTGTTTTGTTCTTGTTGTTTGTTTTTTTGTGTTTGTTTTGCTTTGCTTTGTTTCTTGAGACAGGGTCTCGCAATCTGGTTCAGGCTGCCCTCAAACTCATGGTGATCCTCCTGCCTCAGCTTCCCAAATGCTGTGATTACAGGCGTGTGCCACCAGGCCCGGCTCCCAGCTGAGAGTTTTGGGCTGTTTTTGGTGTTTTGGTTTTTGTTTTGGTACCAGGAATCAAACTCAGGACCTTGCACTTGCCAGGCAGGGGCTGTACTGCTGAGCTATATCTCCAGCCCCCAGCTGAGAGCATTTACCCTGAAAAAAACGTTGCATTTTTGTCAAATCCTTTTTATATCTATTGAACTCATCGTATGGTTTTTGTCTTCCTTCTGTCAATGGAGTGTATTATGTTGATTTTTTTTTTTTTTATGTTGATCTGGCTATGTCAGGAGATGCCAGGAAGTTTGCCCATTTAATGGGAAGTGAAGCCACTGTAAGTCCTGAACAGCGTGGCAAGGCTCCTGCTCGCTGTGAACGTTCCTCATGAAGATCTCCTGATGTATGTCACTCTCCTGGGTTTTCCATCTCCCTACCTCCAGCAAAGGGCAGGAAAGTCATCTCTCTCCAACAATCATATCTCATCAGATTGCCAATAAAAGAACTCATTTCTCAGCCTGCAGAGATTTGGACTTTGCAATCTTGCACAACAAAGGAGGCAGGCACAGAGTCTATAAGTCACATCGGTCGTTGTCTGATTGGACCTACATCTACAAAGCCCTGGGTCACTGGCACTTGGAACTGGAGAGTACTTTGGGAGCAAAATATATCTGCATTAAAACAACTTAAACATTAACCAAACAAGTAGAGCACAGAACTTTGAAAGCAGCGCTGTGTTAATACAATTAATTCCTCCTCATGTCTTATCGGTTATAACTTTAGCTTTGGTTTTATCTCCAGACCTTGATTGAAAATTGCAAATTCACCATGCATCTTACCTTTAAACTTTCTGTGAAATGTTTCTTGAGCACCTATTGCAGGCATAGCCCCCTGCGCGGCATTAAAAATAAATCATCCACCTTGTCCACCCACCAAAGTTTCCCGCTTACTGAAGTGGAATGCGTGATCCATACTTGAACTGGCCCAGCAAATACAATCAGTAAAACAGTAAGTGAGTAGTTTAAAAATTGTTGCTGCTGTAAGTGAATTTGATCAGAAACAAGAACCACCAGGGTCTGAAATGACTTTACTGAGACGGACTTGGGCTGGACAGTGACCGGTGGGGCAGGGGATGTGACGGGGCCACACTTGTAGTGGAGTCTGAAGTCAGCATGGGCAGAGTTGGGGACTGAGGGGGAGAAAGGACACAGGACCAAGTTACAAGCTGCAAAAAATGAGGGGTGGTAGTAGTTTTCTTTCTTAATTTTGTTTATTTTCAAAATATTACCATGCACATATTTCTCCTTTTTAAATCCTCCAAGGCTCATCCTGAGAACTAGTCATCTGCAACCCCTCTTCCTTCTGTCCGCGAGACACCTGGCTCTTCTGAGCATTAACTTTGATTACCAACAGGACATATTTATGTTACCACTTCAGGGGTTTTCAGTGTCGGCCTTCCAATTTTATTTATTTAGCTGTGCTCCCTGCCTGCCGTCAGGGACACGTACTGCTGGCCCCTCTGCTTGTCCGTGTGTCTGCGCTGTTTCACTTGGGTCGGTATTGACGCTCACATCACAGAGGGCATGTATGTCCTACTCACAGCTTGGCCGGGATGCTCGTCAGGACTTACTTTTCTCACGCAACTTTTACTTTTCCCCAGAGTTAACAATCCTGTTTGTTTGCATCATTTGCTATGCATCAACCCATAGTTAAACCCAAGCTGACTCCCACTTGTGTAAACCTCCGAGCGCTCCACCGTCTCGCTCTGGAGAACTCTTCTCAGGGACCTGCCGTCCTCCTACAGGGAGGATGTGACTATGACGCCTTTGCTTCCTGTGCGACATCTGTGGGTGTCTCGCTGTCACTTGGAGTCCTGACTCTTGCTTTGTTGCAGTTTTTCTCTTGGGATCCTTATACGATTGTCTTGTGTTCCAAAATTTCTCAGTCACATGTCTCGGCCTGTTTTTATCCAGCTCTAATTATCCTTTGTGCCAGGCACTCTGAGCCCTTTCTGTGTGGAAACGCAAGTCCTTTGTTATTAGAGAATATTCTACAATACTTATTTGATCAGTTCTTTTTTAAAAATTTATGAATGTACCTGTAATCTCTTTAGCAAATGGCTTTTTTTGTTGTTTTGAGTCAGGATCTCTATGCAGTTCAGGCTGTCCTTGAACTCACTGTGTAGCTCAGGCTGGCCTTGAACTTGTGATGATCCTCCTGCCTCAGCCTCCCAAGTGCTTGGATTGCAGGTGTGTGCCATGAAGCCCAGCTCTATCACTTCTTTCACTCACATGTCTCTACTTCCTCTTTCTGCACTTGTCTAATCGTTGGCCCTTTTCTCGCCTTTTTTTCAGTATTTTGCTCTTTGTGGAAGCTTTTCTTTGTTTTTCCTTCAACTCTTGTATTGTACTTCATCCTTTTCTAATGTTCAAGGACTCCTTTTTTACCTTACAGCAATCAGGGGCCATCACATCTTTTTTTTTTTTTTTTTGTCTTTTTGAGACAGGGTCTCACTGTGCAGTTCAGGCTGGCCTTGAACTCACTTTATAGCCCAGGCTGGTGTTGAACTCACTGTAATCCTCCTGCCTCAGCATCCCGAGTACTGGGATTACAGGCGTGCACCACCATGCCCAGCCATAACATCTTTTATTATCTCACTGTATTTTTATCAGCATGCAGCCTTCACTTACTAGCACAGCAGGTGGGGGATCCTTTAGTGATACATTGAGTTATTACTCTGAGTCCCATGGTGGGCCCACTCTAGACTTGGAGTTAAAGCCTTCCTCCCTGCAGTGGCCACATGGCTGCTCTATCCTCCCCTCTCTGGCGTCCTCCGCTGTGCTGCATCCTACACACACTGCTGCAGCCACGCCAGCCTCCTGGTCCCTACCATCCTAGCTGAGGTCCCAAGAGTCCCCTGGGCATCTTAGGAAGGCCTGCCCTGCCGTCTCTTTCGTAGGCACCACGCCCGCATCTACCTGACCCTTCCCAGGCTCAGCTTCTGTTCTGCTGACTGTACCAGCCGGCACCTGGGAACACAGCACCACTTACCTTACTCGCTTCCGCATCTGTCTCCCTCTCTGCTTAGAATACAGAACGCGAGCTCACAAGGCAAGCGTCTTACTGTCGCGCTTCCTTCCTCCCTCCCTTTCCTCCTTCCATCTTCACTGGAGTTTAATTGATAAGCAGAAACTATATGTTTACTTTTTCCTTTTAAAATGTTTTTTGTATTTTTATCTTTTTGTTGTATAAATTTTACAACTTTTGATATGGTTTCTTATTTGGATTTTTGTTTAAATCACTGACATCCTAAGCAGCTTAAATATGCTTGACACAGAGGGCATCTAATAATTACCTTTGAGAGAGGATGAATGAATGGTCCTTTCTGGCAATATTCAAGGGTGTGTGTGTGTGTGTGTGTGTGTGGTATTGGGAATGGAACCCAGAAGCAAGCATTCTACCACTGAGCTACACTGCCAGTCCCTAATTTGTAATATTCCTATCTACCTTCACGTCTTTTCTGTGTTGCATTTTCTGTTTCTCTCTGCTTTGCTTTAGTCTCTTCTAGGTGATCCTTGGCTGTGATATCATGATAAACAGTGAGCATAACCAGGTGTGGTGACACACATTTGTAATCCCAGCCCTTGAGAGTCTGAGGCAGGAGGTTGGTCACCAGTTCAAGGCCAGCCTGGGCTACATCACAAAAGAAAAGAGTGAGGAGGATACCGAACTGAGTAGAGTGGGCTGGGCTGTAGCTCAGTGGTAAAGCAATTGATGAGCGTGCACAAGGCCTGGGCTCCATCCCCAGCATGGGGCTGGGGGTGTGGGGGTGTTGGCTGTAGGGAGATCTGTGCCTGTGCAAGGGACTCGTTGACCATGAGACAGTCCGCATTCACTGGGAAGCCCACAGCCAGTGACTCCAGATCAGCGATGGTGAACATTTTAGAGACGGCGCCTAAACTGCAGCCCAAATATCTAGCCAGGGACAAGGTCTCTGTGTAGTCCAGGCTGGCCTCGAACTCACTGTGTAGCCCTTCCTGGCCTCAGACTCGCAGCCATCCTCCTGCCTCAGCCTCCCAAGTGCTGGGATTATAGGCGTGTGCCACCATACCCAGCCAGTTTTTTTAAAATAAGAAAATATAAGTGACAGATTGATTCATAAAGAAATGGTAAATTTGAGTAGATCAACTCTTCAGGTAAATCAAATCATGTAGCTAGGAAAGAGCCATCAAAAGTCTTATTCTCCTAAAGTTTCAGCTCTAGTTGAATAATATTGTGGAGAATTTCTAGTAAACCTTCAAGAAAGATGGTCGGTAGTGTTACATTCTAGAATCTATAGAGTATGAGAAGAGCTCAGAAACATGGTTTATTTTATGAAAGCCTGATATAACTCCTTATCAGAGCTTGTCCAAATGAATGTTTTAAAAATGAACATATCAAACTCACCTATAAATATTGGTTTTAAGATTGCAAATTTTAAGTAGATAAACCTATCTATGAGTTAAAGAGGCAAAGTCAAAGGTATATTAAGGAAATCTTTTGTGTAATTCATTACCCTCACAGGTGAAGGAGAAACAAATCACATTACTGTCTTGATAGAGACCAAAAAGGAATTAGATGAAATCCAGCATCCATCCCTGATTTGACATTTTGAAAAACATGAAAATTCTAGCAACTTCAGATAGGTGCATGTTGACATCATTGATAATGAAAGAATTAATAGCAAATATCATACCTAAAAAAACCCACCAGACGCAGCCCATTAAAATCAAACTCCAAGTAAGTGTCCACTGACATCTGTCACCCTGGCATGAATCTCAGTCCACAGACTCAAGCTGGCAAGAAATAAGATGTTGCATTCTTTTTCTGCTTTTAAAAAAAATTCCGCTGAGTCACCACTCTGCCAGGTGACAGAAGATTCTTCTTGGTCACTGTGGACATGTGCCGCTCCAGAGGACAGCCCTGTCATCTCTCTTGGGGCAAGGGTGTTGTCAAACAGAGTCATCTGACCCTTGGGTGTGCCTGGCTTTGGCTGTGGCTGAGATGGCATTTGTCTCACCCTGACTTTGACCTTGGGAGCTGCTGTGTTGTCCCTTGTTCTCAGCCGCAAGCTTCCTTCAGGCCCGATGTTGCTTCTCTAAATCTAGAGACCTGTAGTCTAAAGAAGCATTTCTCACACAATCTGTGGTGAAGGGCCAGTTCACCAGGTGTCGGGTTAACACTGGTCTCCACTGTTCAGTAAGCAGCTTTGCCAGTCGTGTCGCTGAACATGACAGCCACAGCCAGAGACGCTTTAGGTGTGTGCTTGCTGTGAGTGCCAAACAGCTCCGGCACCAGCCATGGTCCAGAGGCCACACTGAGTAAGCTAGTCACTTTCCCACCGTCTGTTCCAAATCTGATAAGGACTTTAAACTTGACTTCCTTTCCCTGCATTCTGCTGTGTCATCCCCTGCTGGAGCCATCTGCCGCAGTGCCCTGCAGAAGTGCATCACGAGGTCCCAGGAAGTCATGGCAATGGGTATTTTACAGCTAACAGAACAAGTTAGCAAGTTTCATTCTTGCAACACAAATGAGAAGTATAAAATTGGCTAAAAAAAAAAAAAGTGAGATTAATCATAATTTGTAAATCAGTGGATTGCAACCTGTAGAAACAGAAGTTTTTAAAAAACAGCCCTAATTAGAGAATATAGTGGATTGATGGTTACAAAGCATATCAAATATGAGTGCATTTCTAAATTAGTAGACTAATATTTAAATAACAGTGTTTATGTTTAATAAAAGGAAGTAAAATTAAAGTCTCATTTAGCAAAAATAAGCAAGGCATGGTGCATACCTATAATCCCTGTACTCTGGAAGGCTGAGTCAGAAGGATTTCAACTTTGAGCCCCATGTGGGCCACTTAGTGACTTAGCAAGACTTTGTTTCAAAAACATAAAGGTCTGTGGCTGTAGCTCAGTGCAAAGGCCCTGGGTTCAATCCCTGGTACTCAAGGGAAAAAAACCATATAAAACAAAATATTTGGAGATCAAATTGATAGGAAGGTACTGAATGTATTTGAAGAAAATCATAAAACCTTGCTGAGATACCAAAACATATTTACTTAATTATTTGTCTTTTTGAAATAGGGTCTCACTGTGCAGTTCAGGCTGGCTGGTCTTGAACTCTCTTTGTAGCCCCCCAGGCTGGCCTCAAACTCCCAGCAGTCCTCCTGCCTCAGCCTCCTGTGGCCTGGGATTTCAGTGCTATGTACCACCACACCCAGTTTTAAGTTTTATTTTATTAGTACATTAGTTCATTACATGATGCTTACACTCACCTTAGGTACTGGGTACATGTACTTAATATATCTTGACTCTTTTTATTGCCTTTCCCCTCCCCCCCCCCGCCTTTATCTCTAGATTCCTTTTCCCTGTTCTCATTATTTTTTTAGTTCCTGTCTCCAGCATATCATCACGTGGAGATCACTTATTATGGAGAGTTGTTACATGTGCATGACACACCTTAAATCTTCTCACCTCCTCTCCCAGGACCTTGGTCTCCTTCCCGTCGGCAAAGGTCCCTTTCCCTGGTTCCTTTTATCACTCTTTTATTTTGCTCTGTATTAGTCTTTGGGATTACTCAGATGAGAGAAACCAGACAATATTTAAACCTGTGTGTCTGATTTATTTCGTTTGATTATGTTTTCAACATGTACCCATTTTGCTACAGATGTCTCAAATCTATCCTCCTTTATAGCCAAGTAGTATTCCATTATGTATAGATACCCCATTTCCTTGTCCATTTGTCTGTTGATGAACATATAGGCCACTCCCAAGATTTAGCTGTTATAAATTGTGCTGCCATAGACATTGGTATGCATATATTGCTGTACTATGGTATAGATTATTTTATTAAACTAAGAAGCCTCATGGACTGCAAATATTGTAAGTTCATAATTCCACTTTCATCAGAAGCACATGTGGGGGTGGGGGAGCTGACAGGATTCTAGGAGTACAGTACTTGCCCTCTTTGCTAATAAAGGGTATCACAAAGCTGCAGAATGTGAAACCGAGTGAGTCTCTGTAGGCACCGATAGGAAAATCAAGACCTCCAAAGAGATGGGAGCAGCAAAGAACAGCCCATGATAAAATCACACTTGAGATTGTTTGGTAATTTGACTAACGACAATGACCGATTGTCAAGTGGGCCAGTTCTCCCCGCTGGGTTTGGACTGTGCTTCCCACCGAGTGGCCTGTCCTGGCCAGTGAACCAGGTTCCACTGACAGGTGTTGCTTCTGAGTCCCCTTTGGCTTCACTTTCCCTCTACCAGGACCACGCGGCCCTTGGTGAGCACCAGCTGCCAGGTGGAAACGAGCCCGTGCTGTCCTAGGCCACCGGATGGGGTCTGCGTGGTCTCCGTCCCGCATCTCAGCTCGCAGGGAGCAAGGGCCACACCAAGGAGGAGCGGGACTCCTGAGTGCTGGGTGCCTCTGCCGGAGAGGGTGACGGAAGGAATCGCTTCTCCAAAACAACAAGGTTCCAGCCCTGGAATTTGGAGGTGGTTCCAAGTGAAAATACAAGGACCCTTGTTTAAAAAATTATTTGAAATTGCAAGATGGCTTGGAGCAGAAGATGTGAATACGCTTAAGCTTATTTAAAGTTCAAAAAACCAAAAAATGAACTTTCCAGATGGCGAAGAGCATTACCGCTCTTCCTGGAGTCCGTGGGCGCCACCCTGGCCCTGCTCCCCGCAGCAGCAGCCCCTTCCCTCCGGTCAGTGTCCACACTGGCCAGCATCGGAGTACACTCGCAGGGCAGGGAGGCTGACGTCTGGGGCCACTCATGACATCACTGTCATTGTCATCCCCTGTGCTCCCTACCCTGATTCTGCTCATTTCTCTCCTCCTTACCAGCACCCACCATAACGACCAACTCATCATCTTACGCACCCGTGTCCCCCTACTAGGCCGTTACCTGAGAGGGCACAGGTTTGGGTCACTGTATGCCTTATCAGATAGCTGCTGCTTGGTAAATGCTGTCAGAAGGAAAAGTGAATAAAGAACGTTAATCAGCATGTGACAGGTGTCCCTGTGTGCGGTTGCAGCAGGGTCTCACAGCGGCCACCTCTGGTCGCTGCCCACCTGGCCAGGAAGGGAGTGAGCTGCTTGGACCATAGCTGGATTCTTAATGGCAATTCGGAAACATGGTCTCGTGGGATGACATGAAGTTGGGCTCCTTTGGGAAGGGTTTCTTCCTTGTGGTGCTGGGAATCTAACCCGGGGCCTCGCAAATGCTAGGCAAGCACTCTGTCACTCAGCTACCTTCTCTTCCCTCTTTTCTAAATCAACTTTACTGGAGTGGAATTTATGTATGGTAACATGCACCCACTCTCACTGCACGGCTTGTGGCTTAGGTAAACGTATACGCTGTGCCTGATGGTGAATGGGGCCCGTGACCGGGCTTTCTCCAGTAGCCAGTAGGAAGGCAAAGGTCTGGGACTGGTAGGGTGGGTGCTGACCATGACCCCAAGGAGGAGGAGTGACACAAAGGGTGAACTGAGGCAGATGCTTGGGAAGGAAAGCCAGCCAGGCGACCTCTGGGTGTAGGAGTGGAGGTCCTGCAGGTCTGGCCTAGTACTCTGGGGAGCGGGGTCTTTTGCAAGAGTGTGGGGGGAGCCTGAGTATTGGGGCCGGGCAGGAGGAAGGCTGGGTGTGAGGTCTGGCAGGGTTTATGGTCAATTCAAGGGTTTCAAGGGCGAAGGACTGGTGTTTATTCTGTTACCAGAGGTGCAGTAGAAGCCCATGAGTTTAGAGTGTCTGGGGCCTCTCGGGTCAGTTTGGTGGCCTTTGTTGCAAGGAGGGTGACAGCTGCCAGATGCTTACACATGTGGGCCAACCCTAAGCTACTGTATGTGGGGTTTACTTCAGGCCAGGCCCTGCGAGTCCGGGTGACCAAGCCAGGCTCCCTCCATGACAGACGAGAGGAAGCAGGGAGTTGCTTGTCACTTGAGTTTGGCCAATACCCAAGGAACAGTAGAGACTCGCCAGTGTCAGGGATGATGACAGCAACCAGTGCTGGCCAAGGCAGGTGTGGGCTGGAAGACGAGGTTAGAGAATTTGGGGATCCCAGCAGGTGTGAATTCACCCCGATGAGCTGTCACTGCCGGCTGCACGACATGTCGGAGGGGAAGACCCCAGAGAAAAGGAAAGAGGCGCCTTGCCTGCTGGGAGGGAAGACCCAGCAGGAGTCTCCAAACAGAAGTAAGGCTTTCTGCAAGGCACTGAACTGATCCTCGGCTTAAACCCTCACCGCCCACAGCCCGGAGACCCTTGCGTTCCCCAGGGAGTGGCCCAGCCAGGAGCTCTCACTCGCCCATCTGTGGAGCACACACAAACATCAGAGTGACGAGAGGACAAGAGAGGTGAGCGAGGGGCCCCATGTGGGCCACCCAAATGCTGTGCGTGCTGTTGATCCAAGAGGCAAAAGATCTTACCAAGAGCAGAGGAAGTGCAGAAGGAAATTTACTGAAGCTCACATAGTGAGAGATACTGGGGCGACCAGGAGTGGGGATCATGCTGAGGCCTGGGGGCACTTTTCACGGAGGTAAGGGTCTGGTGTGGACCATTGGCAACTGCATCCTTGCCTCTTTTCTTTTTTTGTTGTATTTTTTGGGAGAGGGTCTTACTATGTAGCTCAGGCTGGCCTTGAACTCACATGAACTTGAGTGATCCTCCTGCCTCAGCCTCCCAAGTGCTGGGATTAGGCTCTTTTTCTTTCATTCTTTGTGTGTGTTGCTGGGGATCAGGCCTAGGGCCTCACATATACCAAGCAGGTGCTCTACCACTGAACTACATTTCCAGCCCTAGGATTTTTTTTTTTTTAGTACTGGGGATTAAAGCCAGGAAGTACTAAGCTGAGCTACATTCCAGCCCTTTTCTAAAGTTATATTTTGAGACAAGAGACTTGCAAATTGATCAGCCTGGCCTCCAACTTGCAATCCTCCTGCCCTAGCCTCCCAAACAGTTGAGATACCAGGAGTGCACCTCCACACCCCCAACTGTCTTAACCATTTTTAGGTGTGCAAGTCAGTAGTGTTGAGTAGATTCATGGTGTGCAGTACAGCTCTAGAACTTAGTCATCTTGCAAAACAAGCTCTGTACTCACTAAACACTAATTCTGTCTTATCCCTTCCTTAAGGGGAAAAGATTATTTTTGATTCACCCTTATAAATGGAGCATTCAGGATATTTAAAGAACTCCTTAAAATGATCTCAAAATAGGGCCACTTCTAAAAAGAGCCAATAAATCTTTCAGGACTTTTAGAGTTATAAGAAGGAGGAAGAGGAGTAGGAAGAGAAGGAGAAAGGGGGTGTGGTGGCACCCACCTGTAATCCCAGCACTCGAGAGGCTGAGACAGGAGGATCACCAAAAGGTTGAGGCCAGCCTGGCCTACATAGTGAGTTGTATTTTGGGGAGGAGGTAACCAGAAATTGAAGTCAGGACTTCACACTTACCAGACAGGCCCTGCACCACTGAGCTAAATCCCCAGCCCTACATAGTTCAAGGCTGGCCGGAACTACATAATGAGACCCTGTCTCAAGGAGGAAGAGGAGGAGGAGGAATCTGGACATGGTTCTGCACACCCGTAATTCCAGCACCCTGGGAGGCTGAGGCAGGAGGATTGTAAATTTAAGCCCAGCGCGAGCAATTTACCAACTTAGAATTGTCTGAAAAAGGAGTGGGAGGATGTAGCTCAGTGCATAGGCCCTGGGTTCCGTTCTCAGTATCTCAGCCAGCTCAAGTTGGCTGCTGCACACTAGGAATCTTGGGGCCTCCTGCTCCTGAAAGATCCTCTACCCAGGGTGTGGATGACATGACCAGGCCTTGCTGCTTCTTTCTGTCAGCTCAGGCTCTGACCTTGTCTCCCTCCAGGAAGGCTGGGAGCAGCACCAGGATTGTGCCCCGACCCCAGAACCCAAGGAGACACTGCCTTGGGTCTCTGCTGGGTCAGTTTAGGTTCCCAGAATTGATGGCCAGAGGAATGTGTCGATCTCTGTCACATCAGACTCTGCCTGGAGGCTGCGACAGGCCCTCAGGATGCTGACTCAGTCCCCACAGTGTGGTGGCCGAGGAGGACGAAGGCTGCCCCCTCCCAGCTCCAACTAGAATGACCCCCGGGGAC